TTAAGTAAGGGGCTGGGCTGAAGGCTTCTTTTGGATAAATATTATATGCATTCCCAATAAGCACATTTAGCACTAAGGAGACACTGAGTTCAGTGGTGCAGGGAGACTAGCAGGCAGAGTAGAAGCCCTGGTCATCTACTTACTGTTTCTTTCTCTAGATATTTACCATAATGGTGTATCTTTTCTTGCACTTTCTCTCTCTGAGAAGTAATGAATGCAATCATTCTCCAAACTTGCTGCTCACCTTCTGCTCTCAAGCCTAAAAGGCTGTCTAATCACGGGGTGAGGAGGGGGTGTCGGACCTACCTTGTCCCAGTGTACTCTATTTCAAAGCTAATATTAATGCTTTTCCCTGTACTTCCGCTCACTTCTTGTGAAAAGAATAGCTCTTCTTAGAGTGATTGCAGTGAGTTGGGCAGCCTCCATGTGAGCCACCTTGACTCAAGGAAAAGAATCATGAGAGTGCTCACTTCTCACTGGACAGCAAAGAGAGAACAGCTTCTCTAAAAGGGGTTAGTAAAGTGGAAGGTGACACACCCCAGCGTCTGTGTGCTGGCTGGAGAGGCAGCCTAGTGAAGTGCTATTCTCATCCCCAGCACGAGGCAAGCAGAGTGCTCAGTTCCACTGGCAAGAAGATCAGATCAGTGGGGCTTGAATTATTGCAATGGATTAGTAACTAAGGACTCAGCTTTGGAAAATGAATTGTGGATCTCAGTATAAAGCAAGGGTGAGTCCAAAAAGCTAATTCATACTGGTTCATGAATGAGAAAAACTTGGCTCAAAAGAGTTTTTTACATACAGAATAGATCCCCAAAACACCCTGGGAACTGTAAATGAATGTGAATGAAATCATACTGGAATTCAAAACACTTTATAATTTGGGTTTCTAAAAATGCATCATGCCTACTTTTAAAAAGAAGCATGATCAAGTAAGTTCCAACACCCAAAATACACACACACTCAAAATGCAAAAGCACATCTTCCCTGCTGTAGAAAACAGTCACTTGAAAATGTGAGTGTATTCTTGAGGAGGAGCAAGATGTAATGGACCAACTGTCTACATTTTCAAAGAAGTTTTTAAAACAGGTAGTAAGTTGTAGGCTAGAGGGCTTTAAGACCCACAGGCTTTGCTATGATACAGTCTGATGTAAACAACTCAAGCCAGGAAAGAGAGAGAAGACTGAACAGAAACCACAGGTACACTGCTGTACTGTGTGTCTGGTTGATCACTGACGCAGCAAACCCGTTCAGCAATATGCTGCCTGGACTTCGGTGTTTTCTCTAAAACATTGTGTTTCACTATACATAGAATCTGTGATCATAACAGTTTGAGAGAGAAAGAGACATTCCAATGTCAGCTGGGCACGAGCCCCGGCAAATTTATTTAGAACAACTCGCAAGACGAGGAAAGAGTTCTCACATTCAGTGTTTAAGAACCTATTTGAATGACATAAACATGATGCAGCAATTGTTCATTTAATGTGACAACCTACAGAGAGAGTATCTATGCCACGACTCATTTATTATACCTTTTAAATTTAAACTCATGATTTTGAGCAAAAAGAAATACTAATAAATTTTACATTATTTCTAGTACTATATTTTAATCCATTTAAATTTCTATATGTGAGCTACCCTGCTCATCCATAAAGTGTGGCTAACAATGTGAGAGCAAGGAGGTAAGCTAAAGGCATTTCCTATAACAAACTCGGCTTTTAAGCAGAAGCTGACACATTTCCGTACATATTTATAAGGCTTCTTGGTTATTATTAGGCTGTAATTGCAGTTGTTCTAACACCTAATAAGCCACGGTTGGAAAAACAAAAGCAGGTTAATTTGTGATTTCCTCTACTCATTCAGAGGCAAATTAAGTGTCAAACAGCTAATACAGAACATATTTCATTTTATGAGATTTTAATTTAATTCTGCACCATATCATTGATGCCTTAATATAGGGTGGTTTATCTAAAAAGAGGGGCAATTTATAAACCTTTTCAATAGAATCTTTAATGATGGAATATGATAGCATAATTACCGCAGCGCCTGCCATCCTTCTGAACACTGGTCTGTCAGCATTTCCATCAACACAGACCCTTGTTTTGCAGACTTATAATTTAGGTTCTAAAGTTGGCACCAAAAGAACAATTGTGTTTACAAAATAATGAGAGTATCTCCAAGTTTTATCTTCTTGTAATTAAAATATTCACTCTAAAAGCTTCGTAAGCTCACTTGATTTCATTTTCTAGAAGACAATTAAAAGGCAAGCATTTTGGAATTCAAATTCTGCAAAAGATACTTTTCTATTTTACAGTTACTACTTTGAAGATTTGGGTATATGGGTCACATGTGGTATCAACACTCTCAGCTTTAACAATCACAGGTGTGCCCTTATCACCTGTCAGAAGGGTACAGGCAGCTGGGGTCATCACAGAGCATGACCAGAAGAAACTTGGTGCCAGTATACATTAATCCTAAGCATGCATTTAGAGAGTCAACCTTTGCAGAGTACATATATGACTGTTATTTTATTGAGCCCTTCCTGCAAAGCAGATTCCTTCATTTCAATAAAGTGAAAGGACCACACCACTGGGAATTTGCCTGAGTCTACAGCACAGGTGAGTGGCAAAACCAAAGGATAATTCAAACATCCTGATAGCTCAGCCACCACCTCAAAGACTGGACCAGCTTGGCTGTGCCCTGAACACCATTTACATGTCTGTCTGTTCATATGCTGAGAACTTTCCACCAAGTAGCAAAGAGCAGTGACAATTCCTAACAAATTACCAAGCAAAAAGAAAACTATGACAATAAATGGGTACACCTGAGATGTAGTAGACACAGCCTCTGGGATAATACGAACATGAGCCAGAGCTCACCATGCAAAGGCATTGAAGACAACCCAAAGAGTGTCATGCTACAAAGGCAGGGAGATGTGACTTGCTCTAACTCCTAGAACCCAGGTTATAAACTCATTATCTATCCTGGGGTGTGCTAAGACAAGCTGAAGTGGAACAATCCCAGAGAACTACAGACATAAGGTTCCATGTTCCATACACACAGCCCCAACATTCTCTCAGAAACCTCAGGACTAGCAACCCGCCTTACATCACAACTCTTTGATACATGTAGGCTGCTCAAGAACAATCTAGTCAATTACTGCTTAAGTATCTTAAAACTTGGCTGAAAAAAAGTAAACAGTACTGGGAAGCTTAGAAAGCCCAGCTCAGAGTCACAGATGAAGAAAAAGCCCATGGTCAACTCACAGCTCCTCCAGACATGACATAACCTTATCTGTGTCACTGCTTTTGTTATGAACTCAAGCAAGGTCTAGAATATACAACAGGGGTTATAGGAGGCTTTGCTGTTACTGCCAGAGAACCAAAAGGTGGAGTTTCAATTGATAACTTCCTATTTGAATTCACTTCTAAGATGATCTATAATTAAGCCTAGTGGAAAGAGTTCAGCGTATTATTTGAGGTTAGTTAAAAAAATTTCTCTAGAACATGGTTTTTGAAAGAGTAAAGAACTCCCAGATTCCATAGAATATCTGATTGAATGACTTCTTCAGAAAGACTTGAATCTGGGAGGAATTAGCCATCTTTGTCTCTAAGATGTTGTGTGATCTAGGTACAGGATAGAATTCCTTCTAAGATCCATGCGGTCCCATCCATATTATAAAGATTCTGTAAGACAAGGCAAGTTACGCATCATCTTGTAAATCCACAGTTACGAATCCACTTCCTTTTGTGTAACAGAACTTCTATTTATTGGTCCTTTGGTTTTAAGTGAGTGTATTTTTAGCAGGCTTCAGAACGCTGTAAACCCCTGCTTGAATTCCAGTAAAAGTCACAAGAATAAGTCCCAAGTTCCTGTGTTCTCCCTCTGTAAATACCCCCGTTCTCTTGCAGTGCTCACAGAAGTCTCAATGCAGATTTATTACTCACCGCCGGGCAAATCTGAACTGAAATTACAATTCAGTAATGGGAGATGGATCCAAAAAACGGTTGGTAAAATATTATATGTGTACTTGGGCATGCAGTTAGGACTGTTAATATCAATTAATTCTGTTCACAGAGGAGGACTTGTTTTAAAACAACTTCATTTTTCTTCAGCATACCATATAATTACCCAGCTGTAACTAATAGTCAGAGAGATGCAATCTAGCATCTATATAACCAGCATTATTCTTCAAAGTATTATTCGTGCTTTTCTAACTCCAATGTCTCAGAACAGGAGGTGATTATTACATATGACTACATGTGTACCAAGGCCATTAGCAGGGAACAGCCCCTCCCGGAGAATGTGTCCAATTATTATAGTATATGACAGTTTTCTGGATGGTACTGCAAAACAATGTTCTGTTAGTTTGTAAACCCACGATTCTTTTCCTTTCCCCTCAAAACCAAGTGAGATAATATTTATTTCCATGAGTTTTTTTTCCCTTTTATAATACATTTTATCACCACATTCTTTTCTTTTATCTTATATGAACCATGTGCTCAATCACATTTGCCATTTTGTTTGGGTGACATACTCATCAATCAAGTGACTGTTGGTATATGGGCCATGGGGACTCTGAAAATCCTCCATAAAGATTTCATTTTGATTCATTGTAATCCTTGGGTCAGAACCTTCATATAACAAAAATTTTAGCATGTAGAACTTCAAACCTAAATCACAACCAAACACATATTCTAAGTGGCAAACTTCCATTAAGGTTTAACTTTAACCCTTTAAGTTTATAACTCACAGCTGTTTGTCTCTCATCAGCAAAATATTCTGAAAACAGTTGCCAGCTAAAGCATGTGACAGGCATCCTCAGAAAGCACAGGGTCTGATTCAGTGAATCTAGGTACAGACAGAGCTCTGCTAGGTTTTCAGAGTAAATCTTATACTGCTATTGCACCTTCAAAGCCCAGAAGACATGCATTAAGAGTCCCGAAGCCATAAAAGCCAGTATTCAGATCCATTTCATTAATGGGTAACGTTTTAATACTTACACATGTAATGGAGGAATAGGAGATGGATCATAATGGTAACGGCCCTCATGATGTCTGGCATCAATTGGTACAGGAGGATGGAAGGCAGGGAAAAGATGAGGAGGGTCTGAAAAGGAAAGAAAGTACACCTTACATAAAATGAATACTTTGAGATACCATTTCAACTCAAAGCAACTTCACTGCACGGAATCTCACGATCTGGGACCAAAGAGATGAATCAATGATTAAGAGGACTTGCTCTCTTGCAGAGGGACCTGAGTTTGATTCCTAGCACCCATGCCCAGTAGCAGAAAACCTCTTAGAACTTATTACCAAGGGATCTAATGCCTTTGAGTGGCTTCCATGGGAACCTACAGTCATGTGTACACAGCCCCATACAGACACACACATACACATAATTAAAAATAAAACTTTAAAAGTGAATTTCTAGGACAATTTTTGAAGGCTAATGAAGAGGCTCACTGACATACTGTGGAAATATGACTAGGCAAATAATACATGCCTGCTCTGGAGAAAGTAGAGCCCGTGACTGTACCTAATGCCTCACCAGAACAGCAAGAATGAGAGGAACAGCAAAGCTTCCCACCCAGGAAGGAAGGCTGCCCAGAGGGGAGGCAAGTGGGAGACACAAAACTAGAAAGAAAATTGTACTGCTGAATGAAATTTTAAATGAACGCACTGCAACATCAATGTTTTAGTGTCATGCCCTTGGTATTTTTAAAGGTGTTATTCCCATGGTTTCTGCTGGTATCTATGTACATACATTTACATATACATACATAGTTTTAAAAAATTAGATGCATGTTTCTTTCTCTTTGGCCTAAGTTAGGCCTCCATAGTCCCAACACCAGAGTAGTCAAACTTCCTCCATCCCAAAAGAGGCCCATGGTCCTGACTGGGAGTAATGATCAAATCTACTGTGCATCATCACAGAGGGAGATATGGGGAAACTGAGGCAACCACTATCACTGTAGCCCATCCCTTCTGTTCTTCCTCACATCCTGTCCATCATCTTCTAGGTCCTGTTTATGTGTTCAAATTAACATAACCTCCTTACCCAAATTTACTTCTACCCGTTGTCTCTACAAGTCTGAAAATAAAGTTTTATTTAAAATATAGTGATGTGCTATACAAATTGAAGAGAATTTGAATGGGTTTTATAACTAGAAGTATGACTGATAATCTGTACTAATGTTTTGTCCAAGTCCCAAGGAATAAAATAAAGGAGACCCAAACCTGTATATTTAGCACCAGTGCTAAGTGATATCAGAGCAACCACTCCAGAACATGATCCTTAAATACTGCCATTGATCACGGACAGTCACCTGTCACAGCAGAAGGACACACAGCAGAGCACTCCTGGGAACTGATACGCACAGTAAACAAACCCTAGAATAGTACCCATTACTTCAAGGATTCTGAAGATTATAATTAGCAAGCTTAGAGTCAAGTCAAACAGACGCTCAATAAGCAGGGTTTATGCATCCAGATCAGTCACTGGAAAGTACGAAACCAGGTAACAAGGTCTGGGAAACTGCACCAAGTACAGCAGGCAACCGTGTGAACTGCACCTCTGAGTCAGCAACGATGCACCCCAACTAAGAACGCCACATGAAGCCGGGCGGTGGTGGCGCACGCCTTTAATCCCAGCACTCGGGAGGCAGAGCCAGGCGGATCTCTGTGAGTTCGAGGCCAGCCTGGGCTACCAAGTGAGTTCCAGGAAAAGGCGCAAAGCTACACAGAGAAACCCTGTCTCGAAAAACCAAAAAAAAAAAAAAAAAGAACGCCACATGATAAAAGTTAAGTGGACATGGTGACTATTACACTGTTGAATCCAGATGAATTTCATTTCAGTACTCTGGATCCTCTGAGTTCCCATTTTTCCTCAATATCTTTTAGAATGTAAGCTGCGCTCCCTCCCTTTCGGGGGAGGTGGTCCCCTTGCAACCTTCCTTTAAAGATCTGAGTATACTTTAGAACAAAAAGTTAAGAGGGAAAAACTGTGATTATGCACTGACTGAATACACGTGGCCCACCAAGGAGGGGCCCCAAACTGCATTTTCACTATGTTCAAAATGTTCAAAAACTAGAAAATAGTACAAGAGGTCAATGAAACTGAGCAATGTCACTTATTCAATGAATTTTTGTTGTACTGTCAGGCAAGGAGGGAGTGAACAGTACAGAAGCAGAGAAGGAATTACTTTGGTATTATCAAATCAGTGTCACTGTGGCAGCATGAAGTTCATCAGGTGGGGTTACCTGATCACTTGTTATGCCTCACACAATGCATAAGTACATACGAAAAAATTCGACTGTATTTTAACAGTTAGTATTCAAGGATGTAAGCCAGTTCTGCTCTAATGTGGCATCACTCAGCTTGCTAAGTTTGAGTTTAGGGTAGAAGTTTATTCAGCCATGTGGCAAATTCACTGTTACATTTAACTCAGCAATCCTAAGATGAAAAGCCACCCTATGGAAAGCCAAAATATCCTAATTTATTTAATCACTTTTGATGGAAGTATCTTATTCATCCTCCTTAAGACAACATGAAACTAAATGGAACAGTCTTTGAGACTAATTGGTAAGTCTGCCAGATTCTCACTGAATGTGTCTGAAACTTTTTTTTTTTTTTGGTTTTTCGAGACAGGGTTTCTCTGTGTAGCTTTGCACCTTTCCTGGATCTCGCGCTGTAGACCAGGCTGGCCTCGAACTCACAGAGATCCGCCTGCCTCTGCCTCCCGAGTGCTGGGATTAAAGGCGTGCGCCACCACCGCCCGGCCCGTGTCTGAAACTTTTAATTTTCAAATAAACTCACATTAATCACAATCAAAAAACTAGCATAAAGTCAGGTGATCATCAAATATGGGCTGTCTCCCCTTCCTTTCCACACCAAAACAGGCTTGGCTCTGCAGCACCCCATCCTACCCCACCCTCATCATTCTTGGAAATTGAAGAAACACTTTTAATAGAACTGTGTGGAAATTACACAATCATAAAGTATGGCTCACTTCTAAAAGGCTTCTCATATGCACCTGTCTTGGGTGGTACCACCATAACTGTGTTGGGGTTTTGGTTCCTGACTGTACTATTAACATTAATCCACCAGGTAAGGGGATGGTAAGTTCATTTTGTTGTTTCTATCTGGGTGCAACTATGAATTATGACTGAATTCAACACAATGTTTCACATCCAGAGGCATGAAGTATGTAAATGTATCCATATTTACAATACCTCCCATATCCTAGAAATAAGCCATTACCTTTTATATGAGTCTATATAATGAAGTCTCAGAGATTATATACATAGGAAAGGGGACCAAACAGCTAATCCAATAAAATCAAGAGTGCCAAATGAGTGTCAGAGTCTCTCCCCTGTGACAGCGTGCAATATGATTGCTGACCTTGAATGCATTTTCCCATCTTGTCATTTTCAAGAAAAGTTTCATTGCAGTTTTAGTCATGAGGGGAAAATATCCAATACAGCAACTGTGGCATTTAGTGAAGTCCTCACCTGTTAAGTCTACAGAGTTCTGTGAGTTTGAAAGTTAATTATAAGTACATCTTGTAGTGCTGTTTACATAAAGTGTTATGTTCAAGGAAACTTAAGAATTATTAATTCCAGAACTGGGTCTAAATAAAGGACAGAAAATTAACAGATGTGATGTTATGTGACCAAAAGACAACTGGGTGCAGTTTAGTGTTTTGCAATTCATAGGCTTTCCTACTGATTAAGTTTAAACAGGATTTTCTGAACTTTTTGTTGAAGCTCATGTGAACAACTGTGGCTTTTATTGGCTATTCACGGGAATCATCCCTCTTAAGCCACTTTTGGGGAACTGGTAAAGACAACCCCTCTTTTGATTCAAATCACGCTCGGCATAGCCTGAAATGATAAAGAATAAAATACAGAACAGGCACTCCTCTAACATGCGGAAGTGACAGGAGTGACCCTACATTCCTCAGAAGACGTTCCCGAGTCCACCAATGCCCGCCTCACCCTGCATCTTGGTTTGTTGTTTCTATGCATCAGCAGCACATTCCATCACAGACCCAAAGCTGTCCAAGAAAACCCACAAGACAAGAAAAGGTCCCTGGTGCCAGCAGCCATTATAATCAGCCACCTCAAGGTTTATTTTTTACACATGAGCAGTGCAGCTGGGGTGCATCATAACTCAATATATGTGTAATATGTTACACCACCATAGCCATCTTTTGCCCTAGGATGTGACAAAACACTCTGTGATGACTTCTCCAAAGTCAGGCAAAAACTGCTGAAGCAGAAGGAAGTGCCACTAAACCTGGCTACCTCCTATTTATCATACAATTTCCTGACTGATGGTTCCACAAACCAGCTGCTAAGTGCTGTGTACTCTACTGTCAGCAAACTAACGCGCTAAATGGAAGACAGGGAGAATAATGTGCAGTACTGGTAGAATCAATTTTACCAAGAGAATTAAAATTCCAGCAGGTAGGGGTGGGTCTGCAGAGCCGTGGTAAGCAGTGGACTATACACAAGCATGGCTGCAAAGATGATTTATTACAGAGTTGCACAAGGTTTGACTGTGGTACTAAACAGAGATTTGAAAGGTGTGTCCTACCAAAGCCCTTAGCATAAAAGTCTTTTAACCTTATGAATATGTAATTGGCTTATATACCTTTAAATAGAAGTACATAGTGAAAATATTTGAGCTGGGTAGAATTGTCAGTATTCAGCCTCACAATGTCTGTCATCATGCTAAGTATTAGGGGGTTCATTCGAAATGAGAGGGATTGAGTTTGAGGTCTCTTCACAAGAGCATGGGTTGATCAGAAAACCTACGGCCAAGGAACAACCAAGGACACATGGAGCCTGATCTTTAGTTGCAGCCCTCTCCCAAGAAATAGTTTTAGTATCCTCAGGCTATCAGATCTCTTGGATGCCATCCTGGGAAACAGTCTTTTAAGGTTTGAAATTTACATACAAAAATTGTAGATTAAAAAAGAGAGAGATCAAAGTCAACTCAGTGCCCTGAAGGAGTAATTCACCAAATGATGCCAGAGTGGCCTGATTGCCCAGAAGGCAGTAGATGAGACATCAACAGAAGTAAACGACCAGGTGCAGCAATCC